ACTTGTCAGACTCTGTTCCATGTTTTGTCTGTGTCTTGCTCCCCAGGTGTTCCTTTCCCATGTTTAATTTGTCCCAGGTGTTCCCCATGATGGTTCATGGATCCCAGGTGTGTCTCGTCATCCCCTCCTCCTCGTGTGTGTATAAAAAGTGTTCCCAGTCCCAAGTTCTCTGTCCGCTGTGAACGTCTTCCTGTGTTCGTCTCCCTTGGTTCCTTGGTGCAAATAAAGTCCTGTCAACATATTCTCCAGCGTCTCCTCGTCCCTCGTGTGTGTGCAACGTGACAGTACTATGCCAATAAACACATTTTTATTGTGTGGCAAAAATGGATTTCAATTATCCTGCCATTTAGACAGGTTAGCAAATGTGATAGCTGTTTTCTTTGAATGTTAATTGCATCACACATGTTGTGACACATCGCATTTAAGCATAGCAAAAAAAAAAAAAAGTTGTTCTTTGCTTACAGGTAGTGGTGTAGTGCAGATATATACCCACTTCTTTATCAGTCTGCATTGCATATACCACTTCTAAATCCCCTCTGATGCACATCATTCAGTATTATTCAGTCTCCTGCATTAGCCAAATCATGACAGTCCAGCACATGAGTGGCTAATCCAATCGCATGTGAACAAATGCAAATAAAAACACTCAGTAATGCGATCAGGACCGAGGCATAAACACGCTCATGCAGTCTGTTTCATTCATACTGGAAGCCAAAGGGCGCTCTCGTGCAGAAAGTCCAAAATGGACTCATAGAAGTAATAACTTATGACTTACCAGGTCATCACCTCATATGGATAAAGGCATCCCGCTATCGCTGTAGCCAAAGCAATCTCCGTTGTAGTTAAGCTGAATAAAAAAGAAACATTTTGTCTGTTTTTTAAGGATGTACTGTTTGGCTTCTTTAATATAATTAATATACAAAAGATAAAATTAATGAATACTTTATCATTAACCTATTATTACTTTTTGCAAAATTTCATATTCACTGTTATAAATTCACTCATCAAAAAGATGAACCTCTTTAAAAAGAGGTTCAACAGTATATTCAGACTATTGCATCTTCCAAGAATCTTAAAGCTCTTAAAACAGTTAACTTTTTTCACCTTTTTAATTTATTTTGTTAAAGCTTTCGTTTTATATTATTTATTTGTTTTATATTAATATTTATTTGTTGTTAGCCTATATACATGTATAAACGGTGCTTTGCTTGTAATGTCACTTCTTTGTACGTACTTTTGATATTTTCTGTACTTACATTTTTGTTACCTTAGCATTGATAAAAAATGTTTTGACTGATGGAACGTAAATACAGTAAACACATTGCAACAATATATGGTTTATGTGTTTTTCAAGTCATCTCTACGTAATAAAAAAGCATCTGAATAATGCAGTGCTCATTGACAGCATTTATTACATATATCTTCTGCCTGATTCTGTAATAAAAATGTAAAAAGTGTTTGTAGTATATAAACAAATGATAAAATTGTCATTAGGAAAATATAGGAAAAATATTAAAAATTATTGGTTATTGTCCAGCAGTGTATTTGATTTCTCAGCCAATTACAAGTAATATTTAGGATAATAATATTAATATTAATAAATAAATCCTGTCAAAATTAGGCAATAAAAGTATTATTATATTTGACATTTCTGTCCCCCTCACTTCTGAAATGATGGCTCCACCCCTGTGTCAGGGCTCAAAATTACCATCTGGATAAATTGAGAATCACATTTTTTTTTTTTTTTTTTTTCAAATAGAGATCATGATTCTCCCATGATTCTGAATAGACAACTAGACAATATAGCATGTAATTTACTAGAGGTTCTGACAAAATCTTAATTGCTGCAGTCTATTTATTTTGAACTACTGTAAAATCTGCACCTCTTCTGTGACTAATATTAATTTCATAATGATCCTTACTCCATGAAGTCAAGCAGCAGAAGTTAAGTGACAGTGTGCAAATACTACTGGCCCATTTTGGGGTGAACTAAATATGCAAGACTAGTTTTACATGTCACTATAACACAGGGCATTCATCCTTTGCTGGGCCGCTTGAAAAAAAAATTGGGGGCATGAATTAAGAGAATACCCACTTCTCAAGGCACCACTGCTTACAGGTGCTAATTAATATTAATGGATCAAAATTTACAGCTTGGCTTTTTTTTTTTGCAAACTGATTTTTTTTCATTCATTACCCTCCTCTATTTGTAGCTATTTTTATGGAATATTTCTTTTTTTGTTTGTGATTCCTTTACAGTTTGTAATCTGAAGGATAAGGAAACAAACTCAAATTTGAAGGATGCATCCTTTAATTTAAGAAATCATTTAGACAATACTTTATGTTTGATTATACCTTTCAGCTCCAGTAACATGTTGTGTATTTCTCCATCTGTGACTCCTCGGTTACATCTACACTTGTGGGCAGTTGCTGTGTTTTTTTTTGTTTTGTTTTGTTTGTTTTTTTGTTTTTTTCAGCCCTATGGGAAAAGAAGTCCAGTCAGCCAACAGAAGCCTAAAAGGAAAGTAAGAGAAAATACAAACTTTCAAAATAAAAGATTCAATATCGCAACAAGAAAATTCTCCCGTGAGAAACTCACTTAGCAACCTTAGACAAAGTGGATAGAAGCAGATGCTCAAGAGGTAGATAGTCAAGGCAAGATAATGGAGAGTAAGGAAAGATGGATCTTTTGTTGTAAACACAGGGGGTGCAATTAACCATCATGTGTACAGCTGCTCTGAACGATTTTATTGAAGGCCATACAGAGTTACTACAAAACACGTCGCTGCTAATGGTGGAGAGAAGCACTTTATTTTGAAGAGAGATCAGTCGAGAGCCTAATCAGAGCTGTTTTTGCATATTTATCTTGCGTGAGAAGGGCCGGATTATTTCGACGCCGTTTTGTGCAGCAACATTGTTTGCATCTATTTGAGAGGTTTGTCGGATGTTGTTATGCACCTGAATGAACCCTACAGGCACGGTGAGCTATAGTGCTTCCTCTGCCTCTAAGGGTGTAGAGGCGGCTCTCCTGCATTTGCTTGATGGCTTTGTAAAGACAGTCAAGGTACAGTTGGAAAACACGGCATTTTGTTGAGAAATGTTGTAGCTGCTGGGGAGAGCAGAACTGACAGTTCCCAGAGAAGAAGAGACAGGCTACATGATGGAGTGGGGAAGGGGGCTCTCATTTAGAAGATGAATACTGACAGGCGGTCTCCCGGCGGACCTGCTCCTTCTGTCCAACGCGAAACCTAAAGGAGAAGCACTCCTGATTAAGCACACACCTGAGTGGCTGAGTGGCATCAGCTGATCTCAGCCGTGGGAGCCTCTGATCAACCCAACACGCTCATTTTCTGCTCTTTCAATCCTTCTGTATCAAAGTATAATTGGCATGTTGTCGGTCTAAATCTGCGGTTATATCTTAGGTGTTGGGGAACAGTCTCACCTGTTTGCCGACTGCTGAGGTTGGATGCACGTGATTAGGGAGAAAAACGAGTGCGTCTCGGTGGATAATGCAAAATGCTTTTGATTTACTCCACCAATGTAGCCTTGTTTTGTCTGTGAACCGCATATGTGTTTGGTTTTTTTTGGTTCTCTGATCCGCCGCAACTCGATCGCATTAGGCATGTGCATCTTGGCCTACAGTGAGAGAGAAATAAAATACATTATGGCTTTAATGACAGGCGCAGCCATTAATGACTGGCACTTCCCAGTGTTGTGTACCATCTACCTCGGATAAAAAAAAAAGTGCAGTCCTCCCTCTCGCTAAAGCTCTGATCTTGTAGTCTCATTAAAGCTCACAGTTTTTCCTTTTTCCCTTTCCCTTCTGAATAAAACTTTCTTCCTTTCGGAATCGATTCCCTTCTAATTAGAACCACCCTTTCTTTGCGTCCGTCATCTAATTAAAAGGCTCCCATTCACTTTTCTATATGTCGATAAAAAAATCTCACTTTTTTCTCTGTTCACAGCTCGCAGAAAGTTTCAGCCTCTACAACCCGAAGCTCTCCTCTGAAGACAATTCTTTCACCGTTCCTCTTCTCATGTCCGCAGTAAATTGGACTGAGAGTTGTTGGTAATTGAAGATCATTGTCTCCCTCCTCAGGCAGTGGGGCTTCGCCATAGCCCTAACAATACACCTCTCTCCCTCGGCATCCAGCCAATTTCAGCCCATCCACTTTGTTGCTTCCCCAGACTGGATCTTCTAAAGCCATGTGGAAATGGAGGTTCCATCTCGAACCCAGAGTGCAGAAACACTTTTTTCAGCTAGTTTTGTTCCACTGTCCTCGGAGCCGGACCCGTATCTCCCAGGAGAAGTATCTCTCCCAGTTCACTAACTTACAGACCTGACTTACTGTGTTTTCAGACAAGAACTACACACACCAGGCCTGGCTGTCCAATTACGATAGTGCAGATTGTGCCTCAAAACAACAACACATTGAATTCAAGATAATGGTGAGTCTCAAAGCCATTATTCAGTGCATGATGTGTTTTTGAAGAAATGGTTGAGGGACTTTGAATAGTCTCAGTAAAAAAAAGAATAAAGCATATGTTTTGGGTGCCACATGCTGTCACATTTCTTCTCTTCCACTCTCCATAAATTTGTTCTTTTGTTGCCAGGAGACAGAAAGTCTTTTGTTCTGGGGAGGAAAATGGGGAAAAGTAAGACTTGATAACCTCTCGGCTGAACTCTCAAAGATTTCATGATGGAATGGAGAATATTCTCCAGAGGATGTGTTGACTTCATAAAGAGTTTTAAAGTGTGAAAATGAGCCCTTTTTTCTGAGCAACACTAATCATGTATTGTAAAAGTGCTCTATTGTAGGAGAGAAGCAGGAAGTCAAATGCATTTTAAATCTATTTCTTACACCAAAACTGACATGTTTCACTTTTATAATGAGTACTCCCTTCACACTTGACTAAACTTGTATTTCCTTTTTTCCTTGTGAGATGGAAGATGCCAGCGGAGCTCTACTCTTTCTCTTTCTCATCACTGTGAATGTGCCTGAAGTAGATCTGACGAGTGCGGTCAGGTTTCTCAGACATAGTCAGAAAATTAAAATGAATAAAGCAGCTACATCCAAAGTCAATTATTCCAGATCTGTTGTTTGCGTTGGTATAATTCTGTAAGAAAAAAAGCAGAGGTTGTGATAGAGAACAAGATAATACACGAGTAGCAATGGACCTTATTCAAGAGAGACACCATATTTCATTTTCGCAAATGAAAACGATACTGTGAGCAATAGATGTACGGTCTGCACAATGGGTTGTACTGTTGTGTCGATCTGGGTTGGACTTGCAGATTTTATTTGTAAAGAACACGTAATGTCTGATTAAAAAAGCATTTATACTGTAATTTTTTTTATTTATTTCAAAAAAAAAATTCTGTCTTTGTGCCAGTGTAAATATTCGAAAGTAGAAATCTGAACTACTGGCCCGAGCAAGCAAGTAGAAAAAAATCTTGATCTTTCAATTGGCGCAATCTGTGAAAAATACATGTGGTAAAAATTAGACATGACACAGTACCTTGAGACAGTAAAACAGGATTAAATATGGTGTCCACCTTGAATAAGGCCATATTATTGAAAAGTTTCAGTTATGTAAGCCAGAAGTCTCTCTCACCTTATATTTTTTTCCTCAGAAGGTGGTGTAATCTCTCTTCGTGGTGAGGTAACTTTAATGGCCTGTTGTGGTTTAGGCTGTTTTGTGGCGGCTATGGAGCGTTTACTCGCGAATTCTTTGCAGACGCGCGGGAAGCGGGTGACAAATCATTGCGTTCCTTGCGTCAGTTGGGCGATAGGGCCACTCATGCAAAGCAATGTTTCCGGCTGCTTCAAATGAGATTCATATCATGAACGAATACTTTCTTACCTTACAGCAGCAGAGAGAAAATGGTCCAGTGCTAACCCTCTCCCGGCGGCTTTATAAAGAGGTGATCTTGAGGAAAAAAATCCCACTTAAGCTTCAGGTTTGGGGATGAAATTAATTCATCATTTTATAGGCCTGCATAAATGAAAGGCTTTCTGTTAGATAACCTGCTTCATCTATTTTCACCCATTAAATTCAAACCTAAAAATTAATTACGAACGGAGTCTATTACTCTCCATACTGCAAATACAGAGCTTCAATCATCCAATGTCCAGATCATTTTAATATGTCCATAATTATTTTACAAAGTGTAGTTTTGAAAACGGAAATAAGCTAGATATAATGAAGCATTCTTATCTAGTAACATGTTGCTAAAAAAAAAGCTATGTTTAAGCATACATGAATCCATGGCGGTCATCTAGGCGCCATATTTTACCAAGGCAATTTCAGTAATCAGGGACATAAAAACGATCTGACAACTAAGGTCTCAAATTTTAACTCAGTCTATCTTTACAATACAACATTAAAGGGGTCATATGATGCTTTTTTAAAGATCATTATTTTGTGTATTTGGTGTATCAGAATATGTTGACATGCTTTAATGTTCAAAAAACACATTATTTTTCAAATACTGTACATTATTGTAGCTACTCTATGCCCCGCCTCTCTCAAACGCTTCATTTTCTACAAAGTCCCTCCTTCCGACAAGCGCAGTCTGCTCTGATTGGCCAGCTGACCCAGTACATTGTGATTGGCCGAACACCGCAAGCACTCGTCGGAAATGTAACGCTCCTTACCATAATCGCGAGCTTCATCTTTCAAAATAAATGTAAAGACAGAGCCCGAAAGGGG